GTGGATGAGCTGAGGGCAGAAACACTGAATGTAGTCAGAGATGCCGTGACCAGTGTTTCTAGCTGGACGGACATGTGGAACTCACCTGTGGGGCTTTAGAAACCACCCACCATCTAGGGTCCAGACATGGGGTGTCTCTAAAAGAGGCACAGGGACCCCATTGTACACCCACTGTTAAGAACCCCTAGTCAGCAGCACTGGCATTCAGCTTGGAGGCACACCGAAATTCCCATGGCTGGTCTCTCCCAGGCCTACTGAGTCAGGGACTGAGCAGTTCCGGTGTTAGCAGTTCTCGTGACGATTCTCGTGGGCGGGGACATTATCTAGGATGTGCTGGCAGAGGAATCCACCATGCTACTCCCGTGTCCAAAGCAGGGCTCGCGGATGAGCAAGGGGCACAGCTGAACTGTGAAGTGTACTTCATTCAAATGCACTTCCCGTGGGGAAGGAATGAAGTGGTCCACATGGCTGAGGCCTGGGAGGGATACAGGATGCTTACCTCTCCCACGCCCCCTCAAGCTCTAGCATCCACACCTGCCTCGACCCTGCACGAGATCCTGGGATGGCGCAGAGTGACTGTCGGTATTAAATGTCAACAGGACGGGTCTAGAATGGTCAGGGAGATGGGCCTTGAGGGGACGGAATCAATTAACTAATTAAATTAGTGAAGGTGTGAAGATGCATCTTAATTGTGGGTAGGACCATTGTGCAGGGCGGGAATCCAAGACCATGCCAGTGGAGAATGGGAGCCGAGCCCTGGCGGGCACACATTCATGACTCTCTGGTACTGACTGTAGAAGCAATGTGGCCAGCTGTTTCAAAAGCCTCGCCTTCCCCACGGGGACAGACAGACCATCCCCTGAACTGTGAACTAAAATAGATTCAGTGTTTCACAAAAGCAACAGGAAAAAGAAACTAAGATCCTGGGGTCCTGGGGGTGGCAGCCCAAGCTGGTCACCTTCTATCTCAACTGTACTTTAGCTGTGGTTAATGTGCAAACACTTTAGTCATCGGGATGAGGGAGCGGAGGCCGTTCTCAGCCCGGGCAGGGCCTAGCCTGCGGGAGAAAGTTCACACAGAGTTAATTTGTGTCCGCTATCTACCCTGACCTGTCAGAGAAATTCTAAGCAGAGAGCGATGAGTAGTAGTACTGAACCCGATCGCAAGCCAGGGCTCAGCAGTTCGGAAATGCTAAATGTTTAAAACTTGTGACATGCTTCCCGGCTCCCTAGTACCCTGGAGAAGCTGTCTTTTGAAATCCGTAAACATGGAGCTAGAGGTGAGAGAGCAGGACAACTCACTTTCTTTTTTATAACGTGTGTGCATGGGTGTTTTACCTGAACGCATGCGCGCCACGGGCGTGGCAAGTGCCTGTGGAAGCCGGAAGAGGGTGTTGGATGCCCTGCGACTGGAGTTACATACAGATAGTTACTCTGCCGTGTGGGTGCCAGAAATTGAACCTGGATCCCCTGTAAGGGCAGCCAGTGCTCTTAACCGCAGAGCCTTCTTTCCAAATCCAAGCTTTTCACTCTGGATCATTTGGTTTTAATTCACTTGCACCCGTGAACCTGAGTAAATGTTTCTTGTGAGGCTCACACAGTGCAATAGCGGTTTCCTATCTGGCAGCTCTCCTTTCCAGAACCCGCCGTTTCCTGGCCTCCAGTTCGCACACCTCTCTCAAAAATTCCTTCCCCCCTCTTTTAAAGGTTATTTTAAAGGTGTTCATACAAATAAAGGTTTTTTTTTTAAAGCTACAAAGAATATCCACATGTGGGGACTGAAGAGATGGCTCAGCAGTTAAGAGCACTGGCTGCTTTTCCAGAGGTCCTGAGTTCAATTCCCAGCAACCACATGGTGGCTCACAATCATCTGTAATGAGATCTGGCACCCTCTTCTGGCCTACAGGCATTCATGCAGGCAAAGCACTGTAAACATAATAAATAAATCTTTAAAAAGAAGCAGAGTATTTTTTTTTAAAAAGCTAAGAATAAAAAAAAGAATATCCACATGCCCTTGCACCTAAATCTAACAATTTAATATCTGAAAATCACAAAAAGAACAGGGGGTGGGGTAGGGGTCAGGCATATGGCTCTGTGAATAAACACTCGCTGTGGGAGTGCGCGGGCCAGAGTTCAGATCCCCCAACCAGGCGGGCTTGTGATCACCTGCCACGCCAACACACTGGAACAAGCAGACAGGCCAGATGAGTCATATCAGTAAATTCCGGTTCAGTGTCGGACTGCCTCAATGTGTAAAGAGAGAGTGATCAAGGAAGACACCTCCAGCATCGGCTGTGGACCTCAGCAAGCACACACACACACACACACACACACTGTGGAGGCTTGAATGAGAACGCCCCTCCTAGGCTCATCTCTCGCAATGCTTGGTCCACAGATTAGGTAAAATTATTTGAGAAGGAGGTGTGGCCTTGTTGGAAGAGGTGTGTGACTGGGGGGCGGGGGGGGGGGGCGGGTCTGAGGTTTCAGAAACCAATGCCAGGCCCAGTCTCTCTCTTTGTCACCTGTTTGTGGATCAGATGCAAGCTCTCAGTTACTTCTCCAGCGCCATGCCTGCCCGCCCGCCCGCCTGCCTCCAGCTCAGCACCATGATGGCCATGGACTAACACCCATTTAGATCATTTCTTTTCTAAGTTCCCTTGGTCACGGCATCTCGTGAAGTAATACAACAGTAACTCAGACACACACGCCTATCCATACATGCTCTGTCAGATGTGCTCCATCTGTCCCAGAGACGAACCATTGAAGAATAAGTAGCTGGCTAATTCAGGTCACTCCTGAAAACTTGGCGACGACCCCGCCCCCTGGAACACAGACTCTGCTGCGTAACCCGACACCGGGACCACAGTGAGCAATCTGATGTCTTTGCTCACTTCTCCATCCAAGACCTTTACAAGGTGACCCCAAGCATCCCTAAAATATCCTTATGACTAACTACCATTTCCCCCCTATATTGGCCATGGACTTGAGTGGTCTTCACTGAACAAGCTGGTCAGTAAAGAAAACAATCTCTGGCTTCTACAATTCTCACTAATTTGTTTGCTTTTGTTCCCCTAAAGACTCCTTCCTGGTGTGCTGTGTGGTCTCTGGCTGATTAGAAAGCTCTAGAGATGGCCACATAGGTCAGTGGTTCTCGACCTGTGGGTTGCAACCTTCTAAAGACCCCTTCGTGGGGGTTGCCTAAGACCATCACAAAACAGATATGTACATTAAGATTCCTAACAGTAGCAAAATTACGGCTAGGAAAGTAGCAACGATAATCATCTTATGGTTGGGGCGGGGTGGGGGTGGGTGGTCACCACAGCATCAGGAACTGTATCAATAAAGGTCCTAGCATCAGGAGGGCTGAGGACCATGACATTGGTGTTTCTCAGAAGGAAGTTGCCAACTGATTCCACGAGCACCTGCTTCACCCTGAAGCTTTCGGCCTCTCCTTTATTTTCACAGTTCCTTAGCCCTGAGTACACGCTGCCCCCTCCATCCTACCCGCGCACATCTTGGGGCCAGCTCCCAGCCGACCCTCGGAAGCGAGGAACATGGCGAGCATTTATTTTTGATTTGTACTTTGATTCTGATGCGCTTGGCGGTAACAGTGGTGCTGGTGCTGATGTTGGGGAAAATGCCTATTTCAGACCCTTGCTCTGAAACGAACAGCCAGTGAGAAATGGAGGCGCCCCAGTTCTATTTAATGAGGCATCCACGGTGTGTCTTGCAGGAGTGTGAAGCGGTCTGGTCCGACCACAGTGTTTCCTATAATCTGTAATACTCAACATTTTGTAGGGGTTCCCTTAAGGCACCCGGAGTAACATCAATATATATACCGCTTCCTTTGGCAGAAACATGAAAAGAGCAGGACGGGACTAAATTCCTCAGAAAATCTCTGCTAGTGTCAGGCAACACCAGGCTCCCGAGAGCCTAGTTTTATGACCGAGACAAGGGCCCTCTCTTGAACTTACACCCACCTAAGACCCATGACATATGCTACACCTATAATCACCCTACAAAGGTTATTTTTCTTTACTGTCTGCCTCTCTAATTCCCTCTGTAAGGCCAGCTTATTGAGACTATTCTAGACAGCATGATGTAACATTCACCGCAGGTCATTGTGAAGTACAATGCACGTTTGTGGGCCTGACGTCAGCATCTCCAGACACGTGGGAGTTCCAAAGGGCTGACCCCCCTATCGCTAGTGACCTCTAGCTTGGGTGTGTGTGACTGTCCCTCATCGCCTTGTGCAATGTGTAGGTGTGGCATAATTTCACCAGTGATTCACAGTGTTCAAATGTCACAAGCTACCTTTTAAGCTGGTTTTATAGTCCAGTCAGACCCATCCGTCACTGGGTCCCTAAACTGCGGACAGCCAAAACCAGGCACAGTGTGTATCTGCATATTTTTCCAGAACCATCCATTCTCACACAGTCCATGTGTGGCAGGACTGTGTTCCTAGGTCTTCTTACATCACACACCACCCAATCAACCGTAAGCACCAAAAAGAAGGAAATTCATAAACACTGAAAGAAATGAGCAGAGATTCTACAGAAACAGAAAATATCACTATGCCTTGGAAAACCCTGAAAAGGACAGATCAAAAGCACATCGGATCTAATCTAGGACTGCTTATTATACTCAAGCCTTGCCATTTTCAATGGACATACACACTTCACTCAGAAAACATTCCCGTGAATAATGCCAGCAAGCTGAACAACAAAGACGTTCGACCGAGACACAAGAAAGGTTTGGTGCCCCCAAGTTCTCCTATGTAAGATATGGGGGAGGGTGCTCGCAAAAAGAGAGACATCTCTGATTATGACATAGTTGGTGCTTTTTCTTTAACTGGCTAGTACCCCCCCCCCAAATTTACAAATACCAAGCCAAACATGCATATGTATATATGTCTGCTACTGCCGTTATGGGACCAAGAGCTCGCTGGAGTACGGCACGTGAGCCGGGGCTGAACGAGCCAAGGACAACAAGAACACATACCTGCTCTTTGGATGGCACGAGAAGTTCCTCGATCACCATGCTGTCCCGCGCGTAGGAGCTTCGGTTCAAGGTGTATGACCTATCCGAACTGAAGGAGCGGAGGCTGTTGTGTTTACCGTTACCATTCAACAGTGGGAGATGGCGATGGGTGGGATGGGATGGAAGAAAATAAACGCATGCAGCTTTAAAAACAGGCAAGATGGCTAGAAATACCAACAAATGTGCTTTTCTCTCTTTTTTTTTTAAAGAAATATTTCAAAAATTAAATTTTTTGGACATTAAATTTCACGACTGAGATTTTTAAATCTGGCCAATTTCATATCAGTTCTGTGAGATGAAATGCGTGGTGACTCTCGGTACCCCACTATGGCGCTGAACCAACATGGCATTGAAAAGAACCTCTACCCAATAACACAAGTGTTTCTTTTTCTTTTATAAAAAAAAAAAAAATTTCTTACTTTTTTACTTAATGTGCATTGCTGTTTTGCCTGCATGTATGTCTGTGTGAGGGTGTCAGATCGTTTAGAACTGGAGTTACAGACAGTTGTGAGTGGCCATGTGGGTGCTGGGAATTGCAGGACCTCTGGAAGAGCAGCCAATGCTCTTAACTACTGAGCCATCTCTGCAGCCCCGGCAGTGTTTCTTAAGGACTTTATGTTGGAGGTGTCTCTTTCAGTTCAACTGCGCTGCCTTTCATACTGAGATAGAACTATTCTGCCGTGGTGGGGTCTGAGGGTGAATCTCCGGAAACCCACTACGGGTTTGCACACTAAGAGCTCTGGTTTGCAGCTGACACTCAAGGACATCTTCAAGAAGGGAAATAGAAACAGCCACATGCACTTCTTGGTCATGCTCCAGAAGACATTAACCTTCCCCGTCTTCAAATACTGTCTTTCCTTGGCTTTGCTGCCTTCTTCCTTTTTCTTAACTTTCATCCTTTGTAGACACTCTCATAGACAGTCCCTGAATTGTCCAGCTTCCCCACACTCTGCCTATACGGACTCTTAAACTAAAAGCCAGTAGATTATGGGATTGTGTGTGTGTGGGGGGGGTGATTCTAAAAGGTTAATTATCTGGTTAAGACTGCATCTAGCCACACAAGTCACATGATGATCAGGGTTATTATTTATCTGAGTCTTGGGTTAATGGCTTTATTATGATCCTCTGGGGACAAGGAGGATGCTGGCTGTGAACTACCGCTCCACTTATCCACTCACCCCGCTACCTTACTTAACTGGCAGGCTGTCAGGAAAGAATGTTCCGCTGTCACCTCTTTGTGACAAGGTTTCCCACCTGACTGACCTTTCCCGAGGCAGTTACAGTATAGGAAAGAGCTGAGGTGAGGCCTAGACATGACTCCCCAGCCATGAAACACCTCCAACTAGCATGATGCACACTGATCTCTTTTATCTTGGGGTCCTCATGGGTGTAGGGGGGAGTCCTCATCCTTACCACGGGAACTTAGTATTTTTCTTTGTAATTTTGCCTGCTTCACTGATAAAGTGGATCTAAGTAGGACTTTCTGTATTATCATCGGATGAATCGGTCAGGTGGTAGCATTGTCTTTGACGTGTGTGTGTGTGTGTGTGTGTGTGTGTGTGTGAATGGAAGGACAGCAGAGAAGAGAACACACAATGCATGTCCCTTTGCACAGCGGGATTTCTCCCCACTGCCTTCTAGCTGAAACCTTAGCTGGATCCCACACGTCATCCGCAGCAGAAGGTGGGTCGTTCCTTTAGGATAGAATCTCAGCTTTCTCCCACTATCTTGCTCATCACTCTGACTCAGAATTAACCTTCATTCCAAGGTCATTACCAAACATGCTCAGCAAATATTTACTGACTGTGACGAGCAGGATCCAGGCACATAGGTGCCTCCCAGCGCGCCATAGGGCTGTACGGTCAGGCCAGTCATGCGATCATAAAGCTTCCTTTCTCCTCCTCTTTTCAGTTGCCTTTCTTTCCTTACTCCTGTTTCTGGCCCTTAGCTCCTCTTTGACACAGCAGCAACTCCCTTTTCTCGGGTGCTTTCCTTCAACACTGCCCAGTTCCGTCCAGGGATGGTAACGGCTGGAGGGGGATCCAGGCCCCCTGGTCACATGTGATCCCTGACCACTTGGGCTGTGGCTATCACGACTGAAGATCAGATCTTTAAATTGTATCACATTTAACTAACACACTTGAGTTGAAAGACCCATGGGTGATAGGTGGCTACGCCATCCGTTAGTGTCTTTTCCGGACATGCGGCTTCACTGACACAATTTGAGAAGCCCTGGGAGGCCGCACTCCTTACACTTTCTAGACCACGCCTTTCTTCAAAGCAGGGCTGGCATGCCGTGGTCCACAAAAGCTAAGCCCTAACTGGACTATAAGTAGGCAAACGTTTCAAAGCTTTTAAAGAGAGGTTACGTATTTGTGATCCAGATTTCCAAATCTAAGATTTGTGGATCGTCCTCTAGCATGGTCTCCTCCTTGTTTGTCTGTGAGTGACAACTGCAGAGCAGAGCTCAGACCGGTGCTAGCCATAGAAATGCTTCAAATTCTGATTCCTAAGGATCGGTCCAGACCAGATCTACCAAGCAACACTCTGACTCCCTGACTCATCCCAGCACACTCATGACCAGAGAGTACTATTTACCTAAGGGGGTCTAGAAAGCCTGTTGCTTTTTTCTTTTCCTCTCTCTCTCTCTCTCTCTCTCTCTCTCTCTCTCTCTCTCTTCTCTTCTCTTCTCTTCTCTTCTCTTCTTTTTTTTTTTTTTTTTTTTTCCCCGAGACAGGGTTTCTCTGTAGCTTTGGAGCCTGTCCTGGAGCTAGTTCTTGTAGACCAGGCTAGCCTCGAACTCACAGAGATCCGCCTGCATCTGCCTCCTGAGTGCTGGGATTAAAGGCGTGCGATACCACTGCCGGGCTTTAAATTGTCTTTTTTAACTAAGGTCAGAGAGATTATTTGTAGCCATCATTGAAACCTAAGTGTTAGATGCAGGGCCTGTTAGGAAAACATGCTGGCTTGGGCTAAAATGTTACTGGGGTGTCTAGGACAGCTAGCTCAAACAAACAGCCACCAGCAAACAAACCACACTATTTTCTTTAGATCCAACAAAACCTTTCCAGTTTTATCATGCACTCTACAAAATGTATTGAGAGAGGAATTCCTTTAGCATCCAATCATTATTATATAAGATTCCTTTTCGTAGATTGGTTTTCTTTCTTTTTCCTTTCCCAATCATAACTGATTTCCTAAAGCTGAGCAGGAAAATGAAAAAAAAATTTTTTTTTTTTTAAAAAGCACATTGCAGGCCAGCACAGCACAGCACAAATGCCGAAGTAAATAAAAATGGGAACATGGGTCAGGGACAGGCAGAGAAACACCACAAAAGCGCCACATCTTCTTACCTGATCTTGGGACTATTTTAAAGTATTTTTAGAAAAAAAAAAGTAAAACCAGGAGAAACAGAATGTAAAAGAAAAAAATCAGACAGGGAAAAAAAAGAAAAAAACAAATGTTATGGTTAAATGAATCATACACTGAATGTCCCTTTAAATGTTACACTCAGAATAACCGACTTGATAATGCTCTAATGATATGCTGTAAGAACATTAAAATATTAATTCTTTAAAAATAAAACTATAAAAATATGCCTTAAGAAATATTTGCCTCTGAGCATAACATGAGTCGCCGATATGAAAAAGATGACTTACATATAACAGCAACAGATAACGGCAGAGTCAAAATCAGAGACAAGAAATCCTTAAAATTATCTTAAGACAAAAAAAAATGACAACAGGTGATATTTAGATTTCATGGCTCACTGGAAGCGAGTGGTTAGCATTTTCTACAAAGGATATATTCATAAAAATGTGAGGAGGGGGGGCGAAAGCAGCTCACTATAGAAGTATAAGTGGTACCCAACTCTACACAAAAAACCAAAGTCAAGACCCTTGAAGGATCCAGACATTTCTATTTCTTAGACTATGTGATTGAAACAGTGCACATTTTAAAAGTCTCTCTCTCTCTATTTGTTGCTGACACCTGCTCCTATCAGGTTTGCACGTCTTTTTAGGGCCCGTTTATAAAGAAAAAAGATCTACTAAGCTATCCGAGGTTCTATTTTTAAAAGGCAAACTGGAAGAAAAGGCAACACAGCGTCTAAAATGTTCTCACCAGCCGCACTGGGAACAAACCCCAAGGTTTACTCTGTGGGCAGTGCCATTTACCATTAGACAATGAAACTTTTTACAGCGGATTCCTAAACTATAGGAAAATGTCCTCGGGGCTCTCGCTTAGAAAGTTTAATTATTAGCTTTAAAATAACTTTGACAGTCAGCAAACATTGCAGCTGAGCCACACCAGGGGGAAAGAATTCCCAGCCTTTTGGACAAGGTCCTTTTTCCTTCACACAGTGAGTGACTCGGGAGTCAAGGGTTTCCCTGCTTCAGCTATAAGGGCTGAATTAGCCCCATTGCTGTCTGGGACTCTTGATAAGTCACTGTTACACTCTGAACAGGCCCTTGACCAACACAAAACCTCAACTGTCTAGGCATGCAGGCAGTTTTAAGGTTTTTTTTTTGTTTTTGTGTTTTTTTTTTTTATCATCAAGGGTGCTGCCGATCAACGATGAATTAATTTTTTACTAGCAAAGTATACCAAATAATCCATATACAATTTTCTTGTCCATAACTAGAAATCTCTTCCACTATGGAGGGAACTACTTTGGAAACATGCCACCTTGACTGGCTTTCCCATCTGTCAGGGAGCTCAGCTGGTAGCATGCTGGGAGCCCGCTGCAGAGTACGAGGGTGGGGGGAAGGAACAAACGATCGACCGATGTGTTCTGTCACACGAGACTATGCACAGCCAGCGACAAGGAAATAGCAGAGCATAGACGTTTGCACTGAGCACGGTCCACGAAATTCACATGGCATCCAAAAAGCATGTTCTGGAGTCATGAGGAAGATGGGCATGGTGCTGGCTCATGATAGATCGTGGTTGTTGCTAGTAAACTTTGGGGCGGGGGTGGGGGGGGGGGAGGAAGGGGATAATCAAGTACCTGGCAGACCGGGCTCCGAGACTGAAGCCCACATAACCCTCCGCTGGCAGGGAGTCATCGCCCAGTTCCTTAAGGTCTTGTGGCCCAAGATACTTGTCAGTGTCCCCCGTGATGGCATCTTCACCTGCGGATGGAGAGCAAGTCACGGTCAGAAGCCCTCCCTCTTGACTCTGGAGCAATTATGGAGACAGCGGCCGCTCATGATCTCATCGCCTTCCCTGGTGTCCCTGTAGTTTTGTTTATTTTTTTATTTTATTTTTTTTTTTATGCCATCCAGGAAGAAACAGTAAAGGAAGAGGTTAGTTCACAATTGTAGGGGCCAACTGAAGTAGCGAACCCGGCTAGGGTTAATGATCAATGGTAAGCATGACCCCTGACCCCTCCCTGCTGCACCCCTACCCCCTAGGTTCAGTTAATTACAGAGAAGGAGCTTATCTATCGGGGGAGTTTTCCTCATACCACCCATGATGAGAGCAACTTGTTTGAATGAACACAGCTTACAAAATAAGGCCTGTGTCTCTAACACTGTCCTTAAAAACGAGAGAAGGAAATGGCTTTATTTAGTCACGCTTTTGCTTGTAAGCGTGCCACGGTGCACCTGTGGAGTTCAGAGGACAACCTGTGGGAGCCAGCGCTTTCCTTCCACTATGTGGATTCTGGCGATCAAACTCAGCCAGGCTTGGCAAGTGCTTTTTACCAGCTGAGCTTGCTCACCTGCCCGGGAAAGAGGTGCTTTTGTTGTTGTTGAAACCAGCTTCCTCTCTAGGATTTCGGTTTAGGGCATATCGTCTCTAAGTTCTGTAAGTTCATGGTAGGAGCAGGAATTGCTTGCCTGGGAGACCTCGAAGCACATTAGTTTTGAGTTCTTTCTAAACCTATCAGATTCACGAACCAGCCCGGCTGTCCCCACAAAGCAAATCTGCCTTCTACAGAGGTGAGGTGTCGGCTCCTGCAGCCGGAAAGGGGGACCATAGAAGTGCGCCCTGACTAGCCCCACAAAGAGTTAATGCAAGCAAACCGCTCTTACGAGCTCTGGGCTCTGTGTGCCTAGTGAGCTCACGCGGAAAACCACATTCCAGGAGCAACGGGGCAGGTTTTTCAATCGTCTTCTGCCCTCTGGGACATTTCCCATCCCTCCCAAAGTATAGCCCAGGCAGCGGAAAGTTCCCTCTACAAGGGCAAACCCTGTCTCTTCTTAAAATCACTTTGATTCCTTTCTGAGATACGAGCTGGCTGGCGCATAGAGATCCCAAATGTGTATATGCTAAGTTTTCCCAGAGGTAAGCGATTGGACGGCCCGGTTCCTCCATTCAACACAGTTTACAATCTCCATTCATTTCAACCACAGGAACTTAACTTTTAAGCAGCCAATCCGATCTTGAAACACACTGGCGACTACTGGGTATTTTTTCCCCCCCAAATGTGAAGACTAAAATATTGTCTTTCTGCTGCTACTCAAGGCCACACTCCTGTGAGAATTCACAGGGGGGAATATTTGCAACATCTCTCCGTCAGAAACCAAACCAGCACACCGCCAAGCAGGAATGAAAGAAAGAGCTTTCTTACTGTGTGGCAAAGCCATTTCCACCACGCTGGGTTGAGGAGTACTTCCTGGAGGCTTCCAGGAATTCCTTAAGCAGAGGTTTAGAGAGAGCCGTCCACACCAGCCCCAATCCACACCAGCCTGAACAAACCCTTCCCCGGGCAGATCTGTCTTCACCGGGGCCGCGGAGCTTCCCTCAACCTCTCCGTCTGCTCGCAGGCAACTGGGCAACTGTACATCGTTCCTCACGTTTTAGACTCCAAAGATTTTTTTTTTCAAAAAAATTTCAGACAGAAACATTCAAAAAATTTCATGTGGCAACACTTAATAGCGACGAACATCCCTCTGATCACTCCGCAGACATCCTTTCAAAGTGCCTCCTGATTGGATTAAGACCGCTCTGGCAAGCCTCTTGCAGGACCCAATAGTGACATAAACACAAGCCCAGGAGTTATTTGTATGTAAATATGAGGACTGCCTGGGTGTAGACTTTCAGTAACTTGAAACCAGTGCCGGCCCAAGCGGCTGGGACCCTCGCAAGAGGTTGAGCGAGCCAGCCCAGAGCACTGGGTATAATTGGGAGCCCAGGAGACCGGCTCTCCTCAAATATGAATGAAGAAACGGGCCAAGCCAGGTAGAGGAAAAACAAACACTGGAAGAAAACAAAGAATGGGCCGGAGCAGGAGCGGCTGGGAGCTGCAGGCAAACTTTCAACTTTGTTCTCAGCTGGGAACACGGGAGCCTCTGTTATTTATGGTCCCTGTCAGGTGGACGGAAGGCAGGAAAGAAGGGAGGGCCTGCCCTCTGGGTGGAGATTGGGAAACTGTGGGGCCAGGGAAGCAGCTGTGGCATCGGAGTTCCCGAGGACGCCACAGATCAAACACACAGACACAGAGCAACCGGGGAGTACCCAGAGAGAGAGTGGGAAAGAAGAGGGGCTGCGGGGCAAAGAGGCGGCCTGGGGAAGCAACGACCATTGTATGGAAGTCGGGGCAAGGTTCTTGCAATTCTTGAATATGCTCAGAGCGTCTCTGTTTACTGGTTCTCACTCCTGGCGGGGGCGGGGAGATCACAGGAGAGCAGGGTGACGGGGTGATGATGGTGGCTAGAGAAGTCTAGGCAACCAGGAAGAGAAGACCGGGCCCAGGAGGTGACCCTGACACCTGAAGCCTCTGAAGATGGCTCTCCTCTGAAATGCTGAAATGCAGGACCTCTCTCCTAGGGGAAGCATCCTGTTTACGGGGGCAGTGGGTGAAAAGAGAGCTAGACCTCTGCAGGTTCCACTGGGGTGTGCCTGAGAGGCCATTTCAATTGCACCCCCTAACATACACAAGAATAGCTGGGTGGTTAGTATAGGACGTTAGCAAAGGCCTTTGAAACCTAAGTCAGCTGTGCCAAGCTTCTCTATTTACCTATGTAAGTTTATTTGTATTTATTTTTTGAGCAGTTTTTATGCGTGTACAATGCAATATAATCATACCTACCTACCCATTTCCCTATTCCAATACCTCCCTGTCCCTCTCACAACATTGTATCCTCTTTTTTTTTTTTAAACCCACAGAATCCAATCAACGCTGCCCATAACTACAAGTGTATGCAACCTTCCAGTGGGGCAAGAGCAACCTACATGTGACCACACCCCCAGAGAAAAGTGCCCCTCCCTCCACCAGCTGCTACCTTCTGCCAATAGTTTTTCAGTTAGGGGTGGAGCCTCATGAGCCCTCCCCCATCCACCTAATAAATACAGAGACTTGAATCTGTAGAGGTGAGGGGAGTAAGGAACACTGCTGTCTCAGGATCATGAATGAGTGAAGGAGTATGATTTATCAATGTTAAAAATGATCTGTTCCAATCTGCTCAGCCTGGCTGCAACCAACAGGATACACACCTACTGGAGCAAGAGGGAAGCCATTTACAGGGTTCACACGCTGAAAATGGGAGGGGAGGCCAGGCTTCAGGGAGAGAAATGTCTGAGTGCTAGCCTGGTGTTTTGTTTGTTTGTTTGTTTGTTCATATCTAAAAACTTACAAGCTGGCCAGTTTAGCTTTCAACTCAAGCTTGCTTCCCTCAAGGCCTGGGATATGGATCGCCCTCCCACCTCCCACCCCCTCCACCCCCCCCCCCCCCCCCCCCCCCCCCCCCCCCCCCCCCCCCCCCCCCCCCCCCCCCCCCCCCCCCCCCCCCCCCCCCCCCCCCCCCNCCCCCCCCCCCCCCCCCCCCCCCCCCCCCCCCCCCCCCCCCCCCCCCCCCCGCACACATGCAGCATACAGTACTACTCTTCTACATGGCCCTGCCCACCCATCAGGGAGTTCCTTCAATCTCTGCAGATCCCTAAACTCTGAGACTTTGAATCTTTCCAGGGTATCTGCTCTTCCCCGCGTGACTAATGTCTCCCTCCCTCCCTTTCTACTTAGATCTGAGAAGGGCATTCCTCCCCAGGGTTTCCAGGGCCTATGCCTAGCCTCTCACATGGCCTTGTGGGGTCTCTTGGATGGATTGCATATTGGAGGGGCCCTCTAGATAGTTTTGGAACTGATGACTGATACTGAGCGAAGAGACTGGTTGTATTTTTGCTTTTTCAAATCTGCACGCTACGGTGATTTGACCCTTTCCTGGGATTAAGGTTGATGAAGGGCAAGCATAGTCTGTCGACACAGGTCTTTAGATTTTTTTCCAGGATGGGTTGCTATTAAATCACAAAAAAAAAATCCCAGGGTAGGGTGAGGGTGGGAACTGTGGAAACTGATCAAAGAAGAATCAAAACATCATGACCTTCTGGGCAGTGGTGGCACACATCTTTAATCCCAGCACTCAGGTGACAGAGGCCAGCCTGGTCTACAGAGCTAGCTCCAGGACAGCCAGGACTACACAGAGAAACCCTATCTAGAAAAACAAAAGCAAGCTAATAAACAAAAACGATGACCTGCATGACGGCAAACATGTCCTCACAATTTAGCACAGTACAAGCATTCCTTACGAAATGCAGAACTTACTAATCGAAGTAAAGCTATTTTCTTCTAATGTGGTCTGTAGAGGAGGTGTTCTGGGTGCAGATTCGAGCTCTTGCATTTATGACCAGAAAGCAGTTACCTTGCCATTCCACGGCTCTTGAGTCATGGTTTGAACCTTCACAAAGGATGACTCTACCCAGAACTTTGTTACAATGTCCTGGAAAGTGAATTAAAAGTTTGGACCAAGGGAGCGCTGAACCCTAGGACTTTGAGTCAGTAACAAGTTCTCCCCCTGGGCCCAGCTATCTGTGCCTACAAATGTAGAGTCATCATTTAAATTGCTACTGTCTACACTGGTCAAGGCAAAATCAACGGGCTCAGCACAGGCGTTCCATGGGCATCACACGGAATAAATGATTAAACGGTAACAACAAAACGGATCCTCCCACCTTCCCATGCAAAACACTCTGTAATTATCATCTAGCACAAAGCACTGTTATTCTGAGGTTAGGATGGACTGTGTTAAACGGTGTGACCGATCCTAATCCCCTTTTGATAACACAAAATTGCCTAGCAGCAGCTGCTTAGCAACAGGTTCAAGTATTTCTAAGCTAGCAGAGGTGATAGTCT